TGTGTATTTATTAGTTATAAGTATTATGCAAGCACGCATTGTTCTACTACAGAAACTGTTTTTTCCACCTCTGCCTTGTCTCTTTATAGGAAAATACAATAGAGTAATTTGCATTGTGATTACTTTCTAAAAAATAAATCCTGCAACCGGAACTGAATTTCACACTGCATTTCAACCTCGAAAGGAATAGAACTCTGAAACGAATACACAAAGTGCAAAAATGTCCATATTCAGGTTAATGTTTAGCAGCAGAAAAGAATAACTTTTGTTTATCTCTGAGAACAGCTTCCTTCATCTAAACAAATGACCAGAATAAGATTAAGAAAAACCTGTTTTGGTCTCTTAGATACACACACATATTCCAATTTCCTTTTGCACAATGACTTTTATGCAAATGTGTACCACACAATCTCCTGACCTCTTCTGCCATCACACGGAGACAATGACAGTTCAATAATTGAAATGGTACATATCTGGTATATTTGATTTTAAATTGCAAAGTTGGACTCAGGCCTATTGAAATGAAAATGCTCGTGATTCTCTGTTAATTCCAAACTGATCGGGTTATTATTTCCTACTAGCAAAAAAAATAAATAAAAGTGGCAGAAAGGGCAGGTAAAGCTAATTATTCTATTTTTTTTTATTTCCTTGCCACATTCTTTTCCCAATGTGGCCTCTTGTATCCTCTACCGTGACCCTCCCCCCCAACCTTGATTTTAGTTCTTAACCCGGATTCTTTCATCCATAACACGGATAATGAGAAAACTCCAAAAATGTTCCTTGGGGGAACGTTACACTAAAAGTTACCTAGGACTAAATCCCACATGTCTTCCTTTGCTCACCATGGAGACAAGAGATTCATTCACTGCCCTCAGCCAATTTGAAATCCAAATATGAAAACAGTATTATGGAATTCAGACAGACTATTCTCCTTCACAACTAGCAGATGCAGGAAGGAAAAAAAAAAAGCTAGTATAATTAAGCTTCTGACTTTGAATCAGCAAACCTGTGAAACCTCACTTAAAAATACATATAATTTTATAAAAGCAGGTGAAGCACAGGTGTGGGAAGTGATTTTGCACGCCCTGCACGGGCTTGGTGGTCGACTAGTCAGCTGGCCAGAAAAGTCTTGGCCATGCTCAGCCAAGAACGGGGTAAACTGTGCATCTGAGCATTGCCAAAGTCATCTTTGTTCTTCCTCAGTTTGAATGTGTCATGCTAAGTGGATTTCATATCTTTTTCAGAAAAAGACTGGGATCACTTAAGGGGTAGACCAAATGGCAATGCATTTTTTTTAAAAAATGAGGGTTGGGAGTAAAGAAGTTTCTTTAGTACATTTCTCAGCTTATACATTAGGGCCATTATTCATCCTACAAATATTTATTGAGGACTCATTATGTGAATATCAATTGACAAAAATTTGTACAGGATGTGAAGGCATGAAATTAGAAAAACGTAATCAAATCTAATAAAGTGGTGAGCTGAGAAACACTGTTTCAGCGTTTTATTTATACAGTTACAGACACACACACACACACACACTTTACCCTGCAACCCTGACTGCAACCATCTGTGCGTTCAGTATTTACTAACCTCAGTTGAAATATACTTTCCTACATTAAAGGTGAAGATTAAAGGTGATCTGCAATGTCATTTTATTGTTTGAATTTCCAAGCCCAGTTTTGCTTTGTCATTCAAATTTCTGGAGGAAAAGTCAGAATTTAATAGTGCTGAGTGCTTTGGAGAAGTTTGCTTGAAGAAGTGAGAAAGTTTCTCTCGACAATAACAAAATTCCTTTTGAAAATATTCTAAGAGGAACAATACTGCCAAAAAACGAATACAGCTTTGTTTGTTTTTGCAGTCATCGCCAGCCATGGACATAAAGGTATTCTTTTTTTTTTTTTTTTTGAGTCCATATGGAAAGATCATCAACACATTCTGCCTCTGGGTTCTTTGCCAAAATACCATTACCCACAAGCCTTCTACCTTCAACATGAAAGGAAAGGTGTTGTTCTGGTCGAATAAAGAAATAATTTTTACTGGCCTACATCTAATGTTAAAGCTGCCTAAATCCTGCCAAATACATTAAAACAACATCTGTAAAACAGATTTTCATTAAATTGATCAGTTTAAAAGTTAAGCAGCTAGGCAGATGATGCTTTTAAGCTAACCCTTAACCTTTAAC